TTAAAAAATATATATATATATATATATATATATATATAAATATATAAATTTATATTAATTTTAAATTTTTTTTTTTTATAAATTAAAACTATACTAATTTTTATTAATTTGTTTCTTTAAAAATATGATAAACTTAAAAAAATTATAAAAAATATATATTTCTAAAAAATATTATGATACCGAAAGTTTTTATAAAAAAAAGAAAAAACATTATTTTAATTTTATTCATAAATTAGTATAAATTTATATTAATTTAATTTATTTTAACAGAATAAAAATATATTTAATACAAAATTTATATGATTATATTGAAAAAAAATTAGTAAATAATTAGATTTCTTTAATTTTTAAAAAAGATATATTTTTATGGTGTAATTCTTAAATATTACATTTAGTATTAAATTAAAAAATAAATAATATAATTATTAATTTAAAAAATATTATATAAGAATAATTAATTAAAAAAATAAAAAAATGAAATCTATAATTCGAAAGTAATTTATAAATAATATAATAATAAAAAAATGAGTATAAAATAAAAAATTAAATTGAAAAAAATATAAAAAATAATTATATTTATAAATAAATATAATATATATTTTACAAATAAAATATAAAAAAATAAAGTAAAAATATAAAAATAAAAAAATTTATATATTTATTAATGAACAAATATTTTTAAAATTATATATATATTTATATCATTTTAAATATTATATATAAATAATTAATTTTTAAATTTATATATATAAATATTATATTTAAAATATTATAATATATAGAAATATAATTGTATAAAAATTTATTTATATTTTTGTATAATAATATGTATAACTATTTCAATATGATATAAATTAATAATATTTTTAATAATTTATTTTTTTTATTATGTAAATTAAAATTTTATTTTAATATGAAAAGTTAATATTGTTTTATTTATTTAAATAATATTTATATATTTAAAAAATACTCATAGTTTAAGATATAAAATAAATAAGAAATTATAATATTTTGAAAATATTTTAAAAACATGTAAAATTTTTATATATTATTTATAAAAATATTTAATAATAATATGTATTATTTTATTATATATATATATATATTTTATATATTTTAGAAATAAACTTTTTTTTTTTCTAAATTAAAAAAATAAAAATATAATAAGATTATATTATAAAATATATGAAAAAATAATTAAATAATTTAAATATTTAATATAAAAAAACTTTTCATTTTATTGTTAATTCTAAAGAAGCTCCATTAAAAATATTATAATAAGCAATACTTTTTTCATTTTTCAAAGTATTAAATAAACTACTTCTTAAATTTTATAATTCAATTTTTACTCCTTTAAATAATTTATATTTTTAAAAATAAATTATATATATATAGATATAGATATATTATTACCAATTTTATCTTAAATTTATTATTTAACTTAATAAATGCTTTAAGTAGGCATAAATTAAAATTTAATTAATTATCCATTTAATTTTGAATTTTTCTCAATATCTTCTGGTATCCTAATATTTAAATTAACCATTCCTGGAAATTCCTATAGCCACTACCCTTCTGGAGTTAAATTAACTCCTTCATCTAATTTAGCTAATTCACTATTACCAAAGCCTACTAAATTTTATCCTAAATATATAGAGTAAAAAATAAATACGAATATATGTATATATATATAAATACGTATTTTTCATCTTAATCATCATCTTATCCTCCATTAAATGAATTCTATAATTTTTTTTCTAAATATCTTCATATTATCTTCTTTATTATTATTAAAGCATAGCCACAGTAGCTGTAGTTCTTGTCATAGTAGCTGATTATCCATCCCAAATAGGTTTATTATTTAATCCTTATTAAATTTATTAAATTTAACTTCTTTCAAATTATTCGGCTGAAAGTCCGAAAATATCTGGTCTCGAATCTTACATTTCTTTAAGATTTTAAATAATTTAAGAATCATGCACTATGGACACTTTTTTTGCATTTGCCATTATTTCTTTCTTATTTTCCTAGTATTTTGGGTCTAATAATTCTATTCTTAGATGTTCGTTATATTCGTCTACTGGAATTAATTATCCGCAAATTTAACATTTCGTAAATTCATTTTTATTTAGGTTTTTTACCTTTAATAGTCTGTTTTTATCTTTATATTTTCTTCCTGTTGTTATTATAAAAGAGTTTCCGGTGAAGGTAAAGGGTCTTTTTTTTCGTAGTTTTTTTCGGAATGCTTTTCGGTTCTTTGAATTCTTATTGTGGAATATTTTATTAATCAGGGGGAATTTCTAATACAATTTAAGGCTCAAGTTGTTATTCGAGTTAATTCTAGTGCATTTATTGTGCTGTATATATGAAATTATCATGGAAATCAATCGTTTCTACTATAATAAAGTCTTACCAATCGATTTATTATAGAAGAAGCCTCTCTTTTTCATCTTATTCGAATTAATTTTTTTCCTAATTTCGCTTCATCTTGAGGTATTCGAACACTTTTAGTGATCTATTGTATATATTCTGTTTATTTTTGGCAAATTTAACTAAATTATCCATTTGATTGTCATCTATTTACATACATTTTTAATAAGCATTAACAAAATTCATAAAAAAATTAAATAAATTATTAGTAGGTTTCAAAAAATCAAACTAAGGGTTTTATTTTTCCCTTTCACTTAAAGAAACCAAAAATTTCTTACCGTTTTTAGCCACAAATTATGCTGTATGTTTAATAATATCTAAATCTAAACTATTTATGTCTTTAGCAATATCTATAGAAAAAATACTCTATTCTATTTAATTCTATATATCTGCTTCTAATTACATTTATTCGTATTATATAGCTTAAACTTCTCTTTATAGTATTTATTCTTTATTTTATTAAAATATATTTTCTTAAATTTATTATTATTATTATTACTATTATTATTATTACTGTTAATGTTATTAATCATTTATTATATTATTATTGTTTCCATTTTCTATTTATAAATATATGTATATAAATATCTCTATATATATATATTTATTTATTTTTTACATTATTATTATGACATATTACGGGCAAATTCAGCTATTTTATGTTCATAATAAGGTCTATAAGGATCATCTTTTTTTAAAAAACAGAAATTTGGATTGTTTTGTTCTTTACTAGATACCATATCTTCAAATGAACTGCCTATTTTAGCTACATATTCAGCTGTAGTATGTATATATTCTATTTTTTTAAAAAAATATTATGGATATTTTTTAATGGATTTTATTTATGTTATGTGGCTATTTTTATTTTCTTAATTGTCTTTGGGGCATTTTTTTTTTTTTACTTCTTATTTCTTCGGGAGGAATAATAAGGCCTACTATATTTTACATTTGTGTCTATTTATATATTTTATTTTATTATTTGTATATTTTTTATTATTTTACTTTTTTTTTTATATTTTTTAATATTTAGTTACTATATTTTATTTAGTTTTATTTATTTTTTTATAATATTTTTTAGAATTCTTAAAAACTTTTATTAAAATTAATAATTAATATTATTTAGAAAATAAAATGAAATGTATTAATAATTTTTTTAAATAAAATTCTAAAAAATAATATATATGTATTCTTAACTTATTTTTGATATATATATGCATATATTAGTAATTAATACATTAGATAAATATTTTAAAAAATCAATTTTTTATTTTAATAATTAATTACTGATGATTTTTAAATTAATTATTGTTTTTGTTAAACATCATATACAGACTTAAATAAATTTTAAAATAAAATAATTAAAAAAAATAACACTGCTTTAAATAAGATAAATAATAATTGAAATATTTAATAATAACTTAAATAAGATAAATAATAATTGAAATATTAAAAAAGTAATTTAATATAATATTTAATAAAAAATAAAGAATTTTTCAAAAAAAAGTATCTTAAAATCAATTTTTAAATTGTCGAAAAAAATTTAAATATAATTATTAAATAAATATATATATATAAATTTATTAATTTTAATTTAATTTTTTTTATTTTAAAAAAAATATATAATAAATACTAATATTTATTTTATTTTATTTTGCTATAAATTATTAATTATTATTAAATTATTTATGAAATTAAAATTTAGTCATTTTAAACATCAATATATCTGAACTAGACGGTATAAAAAATAATTAAGAAAGCATAAAAAAAGGGATATAAAATTATTAAATGAAGAAAATAAAAAATAATAATCATAAATAAAATTTGAAAAAGTACAGCTATGAACTTATAAACAAGTAACTAAGAATAAATAGAAAAATAAATAAAAAATTTAAACCAAAATTAATAAAGGAATTCATAAATTACATAGTAGAGGAGAGTAAAATATTCACATAAGAATAAAGCTTAATAAATAATAAATAAGAATGAAGGCCTAAAATATTAAATAAATTAAATTCATTAGAAAATATAAATTAAAAGGAAATAAAAATTTATAATAAAATAATATAAAAATTAATATTTAATTAATATACATATAATAATAAATATTTTTAATATTATTTAAATTATTTATAAAATTATAATTACTTTAGATATATTAATTAATGTAATTCTTTTAGATAAAAAAATACTAAATTAATAATTTAGTTATATTATATTTAATTAAAATATAGAGAATGATATTATAAAATTATAATATTATTATTATTTTTAATTAAAGATAATTATATAATGATTTTTAACAAGTAAGTAATTTATAATATGTTATATAATAGAATATTAAATAATAAAATTATTTATTTATTAAAAAGAGATAATGTAATATATGTCAAATAAAAATGCTAATAAGAGTTAAAGATTCCAAAAAATACTAAAAATTTGTTTCTATTATTAACCGCAATCTATTTTGAGTATAAAATTGTATAGGAGATAATAAATGTCTTTTTTTTTAATTTATAAATTTTAAGAAATTTATTGAACTTTAATTATATTAACTCATTTATATTTTTAATAAATATGTATATAATAAATTTAATAAATGTTTTATAGCAAAAAACATATTATAAAATATTTATTATCATAATTATAATTGCAATAATATCTTTATTTACTTTTTAGTTATTAATATTTTTTATGAATTTTATTTATCATTGAATTGCTTTTTATATTGATAAAAATATTTGTGAAAACACCTATAAAATTCAGTTTCCCTTTATTATTATGATTTTTTATTATAAAAAAACATTTTTGAATATATATTTTATATTAAAATATAATATATGAACATACTAGATATCCTAATTACAACTAATAATTATAGCAATGTTTAAATAATATATTGAAATGTTTTAAAATAAATTTAGTATATATAAATAAATAAAGTAAACAAATAAAAAATAAATACCAATACCTTTTTATTATTATATTTTAATATGAAACCTTTAATTTATATATAATTTTAAATTGTAGAAAAACATATAAGATATATTATATTTTTTATAATTATTAAAATATCTAATAATGTATTCATTTTTTCACTAAAAAAAAGATGTAAACTTAGTTTGGGAAAAATATAAAAATGCATATAGAAAAACGGACTACAAATAATATTAACCAAAAAAATTTTATGAACCAATAAATATTGAAAAAGAAAAAGAATTAGATTAGAATTTATAAAATATTGAAAATTCATTAAAAATATATCGTTATCATTAAGAATTGCCAAGGTTTAAAAAAAATAAATTAAATTTAAATATGTATTTTTTATTAAAAAAAAATTAAGAATTGTGACAAGATTATAAGGCCCTTATAGGAAAGAAACAAGATTCGAATAATTAATATGGGTTGCCGGAGTTTTATCATATTTTAGTGGGGCAATATTAGCATCAATTATTTATGGTTTTTTTAATAATATATAATTATATATTATTTAAAAAAGGAAATTTAAATACAATAAAAAGAATATCAAAAACAAGAAGAAGAACGTTTTTATTTTTAGTTGGAACCTATTGTATTAAATACATTTATACTTTTATATAATAATTAATTTAAATATGAAAAAAAAATAAAAAAAAAAAATAGATATTTATTGTGAAACTCATTTAGACAATTAACCTTAAAATTAGTAAATAAAAAAATAAAAATTTGTTAGTAATTATGTTTATTTATTATATTTTAAGAGGATTATTCTTTCCTTTACATAGAGATGAAGTTGTACATAATTATTATGATTTACATTTAGATGCGTTTAGAGATGTTGATAATTTTATTAAAAATGACTAAAGAATAGATAAGAAAGACATTCAATAAATTAAATAAAAATATTTAGATTAATCTATTTAATATAAATAAAATAAAATTAAATAACTATATGATTTAGTTTGAATGTTATTTTACATTAAATTTATTTGGAAAAAAATAAAAATATTATTTACAAAAATTCTTATATTACATATAAAAATTGTTAATTTTAAAATAATATTATCAATAAAATTAAAATCAAATTTTAAACAAAAAATAATATGGAAGGGTATTTAAATAAATGGATCAATATCTTCCAATAATGGAAAGAACGTTATTTTATATTACATGAAGACTGTCTCCATTACTGCGATGTTCAAGGCGGTTAAATAAAAGGTACAATCCACTTAAAAATAGCCAATATAGCTTAAGTAAACGATGATCCATTACGCATAATAATAAATTCTGGAACAAGTTAAATCGAAGTAAAGGCTCATACAGTATCATCAAAGTTAGATTGGTTAAAAAAGCTTAAAGAAGCTCAAGAATATGCTCGAAGTCAATTCGATTCTTTAACAGTAGATCAATTAGAATAAATAATAAGAAACAATAAGCATTTAGATTAAACATATAAAAAAATGCTATTATAATCAAATAATGATAAAATAGAAAAATCATTAGTAGAGGTATATGAAAACGGAGCAAAAATAGACGAAACAATATCTGAATTAATCCCATTAATAAAATAAAATACATAACGAGATTTATTAGATAATTTATAAAAATATACACACTAAATAAAAGTAATAAATATATTAAAATATAAAATAATAATATATATATATATATATATATATATAATATATAAATATAAATATAAATTTAGAAAAGTCTACAAGAATGCATATTGAATATAGAAAATGAACGTAAACGTATTTATAGAAGTGCTTAATTAATATCTAATAAAATAGATAATAATATTAATATGAATTCTGATAATAATTAATAATTATTATATATAAACTCTAATTCTAAAAATGACCAAATTAACGAATAATATTATACTGAAAACGGTGACGAAGTGAATATAACTTAATTCGAAAGCTTTATAGGAGATGATTTATATTATTAAAAAAACTTGAATTCTCAATAATAACTAAATATACTAGAAAAAAATGAAAAAATAATCTAAATTCCAGATTAATAATAATAAAATTTTAACATGCCAATTTCATAGAATGCTTTAGTTTCTTTTTTTTAGGAAAAATGCTAAATTAGGTATCGTTTATTATCCAGTAACCCGTCTTATTTGGCAACTCAAATTTCAAATGAGCCTATAAGAATGAAACTTCCAAAAGTAAAAGACCCAAACGAAAAAATTAACATATGGTCAATTTTAAAAGACTCTATAGGAAAAGATTTATCAAAATTTGCTGTTCCAGGCATATAAAATATTTATATATATATATATATATTTATTATATTAATTTATATAAATATTTATATTTACATATAAATATATTTAATTTTTATTTTTAAATATATTTAGTTTATTTAAATGAACCAATCTCTATGTTATAACGTCTAGCCGAATAAATGGAATATTCCTAAACTTTAGATAATGCAAATGCTACTGATGATACTTGCCTAGCTTTATGTTATGCCATGGGTTTCGCTGCTAGTGTATATGCTGCAACTATTAACCGTACAAAAAAGCCTTTTAACCCTTTATTAGGCGAGACCTTCGAATTTATAGACTCCAAAAACGGTTTTCGTTTCATAAGTGAATAAGTATCTCATCATCCTCCAATATCAGCTGGTATAGGTGAATCAAATAACTATATTTTCTAAGGAGACTCTAATATAACATCATAGTTTTGGGGAAAATCATTTGAAGTGAAACCTTTAGGTCATTTCCATATAAAACTAAAGAGACTAAACCATGATATAACATTCAAAAAATGCACCACTGCCGTAAAAAATATATTCATTGGATAAATGTATTTAGATCACTATGGAGTAATGGAATTTAAAAATCACAGTACTGGTGATTTCGGTGAGCTTAATTTTCGGGAAAAAAGTGCCTGGAGTGATAAAGGATAATATGAAATAGAAGGCTTTGTAAGTAATAAATAAGGCTAAGAAATATATAAATTAAAAGGCAAATGGAACAGTAATTTAACTTCTACGAATATAACTACTGGATAAACTATAGAAGTATGGAAAAGATACCCTTTACCTTAAAATTCGGAATGGAATTATCATTATACGTAGTTCGCATTATAATTAAATCATTTAAATTAAGATAATATAAAGTGGATATGTCCTACTGATAGTAGATTAAGACCAGATTAAAGGGCTTTGGAATATGGGCTATTAGATGTAGCGGCAGATGAAAAATTTAGGTTGGAATAAAAATAAAGGGCTAGAAGAAAAGAAAATGAAGCTTCAGGAAAAAAACATGAAATTTGCTTCTTTGAATAAAGAGTAGATCAGCTTACTGGAGAATTGGAATATAAGTATAAAGGAGGATATTGGGAAACTAGGGAAAAGTAAGATTGGAGTAAATATCCAGTTTTAGATTTATATTGATTTTTTTTTTATTTTTTTTTTATACTTATATATATTTTTAGTATTTTTTTTTTATATATATATATATATATTATTTTGTTTTTTTTTTATTTATTTATTTTTTAGTAAATGTATATGTATTAATATATATACAAGTATACTTATTTATAAACTTTTTTTATATTTGATTTTATATTTTTAATATAAAAGAATTTTACGTTTTTTATTTTTTCTATTTATTTAATATATGTTTTTGGATTATTGGAATAGAAATATTATTTCAAACAAAAAAAAATACAATATTTATATTTATTTATTTTTTTTAAAAAAAAGGAATATTGTTCTCACTTTTAAAAATAAAATTATAATTTCCAGAAAATATAAAATATTCTTTTTTTCTTTTTTATATAAATATTAAAATTTTTATATTAAAAAAAAAAAAAAATAACAAAAAATACTTAAAAATAATAATAAAAGTAATGTAATATTAAAAATTAGATAACTCAGAAGAATGTTTAAAACATAGATCATAAGAAAATCCTTAAAAAAGGTAAATAAGAAGCGATTCTCCTTCAAGACTAAGAAAAATCCCTAAAACACCTTGGAAAATATTATTTTTGGTAAAAATAAATAAAAAAAATATTTTAAAGTAATTAAAAAAACAAATAAAAGAGTTTATTTTTAAGTTTTTCAGGACTTGTATTATTAACTACTGGTGTACATACATATAATTAAAAAGGTTTAGGTGATGCATATTTATTTTTTATACTTTCATCAATGCGTAATATTTTTTATTTTTTTTTTAAATATAAATATAAATATAAAGTATTAATACCTGGATTTTATCATTTACATATAATATTTAGAGTTATGATTGGATCTTAAGATTATTCGTATGATATGTTAAGTTAAGTAGCCGATTGAAAAAAATAATAGAAATTAATAATACTTTTATGTAAATAATGACAAAAAAAAAATGATAAATAAAAATATAGAAAATAAAAAATAAAAAAATATTTATGTATTATTGTAAATTGATTTTTTTTATTTAATAAAATTATTATTTATCTTTTAGAATAAATTTCAATATAAATGTTATTTTATAAAATATTAAAAAATAAAAAAAATTATCTTTTAATATTTTATTAAAAAAAAAAAAAAATTAAAAAATGGGATGTTATGTTTAAACTTAAAAAGCTAAAAAAATTATTTTATTAGGATTAAGTGGGTCAGGAAAAACAGCTTTTTTATATCAAATTTCTTAATAAAGGCGAGTTCCAGCTATTCCAACAATTGGTTTAAATGAAGAGCATTTCGTATTTAATAAATATAAAATACATTTATTTGAATTTGGAGGGAAACAAACTGATTTTTCATTAGTAAAGCATAATATTGAAAATTGTAGTGGAGTTATATTTGTATAAGATAAGGTTGATGTAGATAAATATTAAGAAAGTATAGAATATCTAAAATTAATATTAAAATAAGGTGATTTATAAATAATTCCTTTGTTAATAATTTTAAATAAATGTGATATTAAATAAGAAAATTCTATATAATAAAATTAAATGAAGTAAGATTTAAAAAAAATTATTAAAGAGAATTAATTAATTAATTTCTTTGAATGCTCAGCAACTGAAAATATATAAATAAATGAAAGTTTTTAATGGCTAATTGAAAACATAAATAAGTGATTATTATATTTTTAATTTGAAATTTAAAAATAAACATATTTGTTGTTTTATATTAATTAAAAAAAATAATATGAAAAATTAATATAAAAAATTTAATGTGTAAAATTATTTATATACTTTTATAAGTTTTTTTTTATTAATGTTTTAATTCATTTTAATCATAAAAAAAACTGAAATATTAATAAAAAGTTATATTAAAATATATTTTATATATATATTATGGAAAATTTAAAATTATATATAAAAATTTAAATATAAATACTTTTTTATAATATAATTAAATAAAATTAAAATTAATTATATATATAATATAAAAAATTAAAAAAATTTATAAAAGAAATATAATAATTGATTTATAAAATAAATATTTATAATTATATTTATATAAAAACAAAATAATAAAATAATATAAAAAAGAATATATATTTAATGAATTATAAAAAAATTTAAGAAAATTTAATAAAAAGTAATATAATATATTAATATATATATTTAATTATATATATATATTAATAGATATTTATATATATATTTTATATTTTAATAATAATAATTATTATTATTAAATTAAATATATATTTTATCTCATTTTAATTAATATAAATAGATTCTATAATTTTTTTATTTTTTGTTTTTATTTTCTTATATTTTAATAATAAAAATAATTATTTTTTATTTCTAATATTTTTTATTTTAAATATAATTATAATAAATATGATTTGTTATATATATATATTTTTTTTTTAAGAATTATTTTTATATTTTTTATATCTTTTTTTAATATTTAAAATTTAATTTTTTTATTTTCTTTTTTTAATAACATTTATTTTTTATTTATATTATTTAATTTATATTTTATAGAATTTTATTACATATTATTTATTAATGACATATAAAGAAAAAATTTATTTATATTAATACGAATATTATTTTTATATATATATATTAATTCATAAAATATTAATTAAATAAAAAAATATTAACAGAAAACAAATATATTACTTATTTTTTTTATATACAAAAATATGAAATCCATAAAAGTTTTTGTTTAATATATAAACACATTAAATAATTAAGTATTTAAGTAAATTATAATAAATATTAAATAAATAGATTTCATTAAAATAATAATTTTTTAATAAATATGAAATTATAATAATTTAATTTATTCAATAAAATTTTATTTTTTTAATTTATTATAATTATAAAATCTTAAATAATAAAGATTTTTTATAATTAAAACTTAATAAATTAATTTATTTATTTAATAGTTTTAAAAACACAAATAATATTTAAATAAAAAAAATAAACAAATTTAAAAATATTAATCAAATAATAATAATTAAAAAAGATTGTTATTCAATTAATAAAATTAACTAAAAAAAATTATAAAATATATAAAATAAAGTTATTAAATGAAAAGAAAATATAAATGGTATTATTATATCTTAATAAATTTATAAAAAAAATATAAAAAAAAAAATATAAAAATGAAAAATTATAAATAATAAAAGCTAAATAAATAATAATAAATAAATATTAAAAGAAAATGAATATATAAATAAAACGTAATATTTATTAAATGTAATTATGATATTCCGGGAAGTAATTTATATCTAAGAAAAATTGTAAAATTAAATAAAATAAATATAGGAAAAAAAAAAAATTAAATTAAAAAAATAAAAAATGGAAAAAGTTAAATTTAAAAAAAATTAAAAAAAATATATAATAAATATGAATAAAAATCCTTACTTAATATAAAAATAAATATATATAAAGATATAAATATTATAATTTATATAAAAATGAGAAATATAAAAAATAAAATAAATATATATGTATAAAAAAAAATATAAATAAATAAAAATATATATATATATTTATATATTTATATATTTATATATTTAAATATTCTAATTATTCTAAAATTTTATAAATATCTTTAAATTATTATTTTTTTATATATATATTTATTTAAAATTTTTATTTTTAATAATATATTTTTTTTATTTAATTGCATAACATTATATTTTTTAAATATAATCTTAGTAATAATCATTTTTTTATATAATAATTTTTTTTATTATTATTTTTATAATTTTTAATTAATTATCTAATTTTTTTTATATTATTATTTTGGAATTTATTAAATGTTAAATTATTTTTTAATAATCAATTTATGTAAAAATTATTTTTTTTATTTATAAAACTAATAATTAATAATTAATTTAAAAATTATTATTTGAAAAATATATATTTTAATTAATTAAATTTTAATGATATATATTTTTTTATTTTTTATTCATATTTATTTTAATAATTTTACATTTTATATATTATTCGTAATTTATTTCATTTTTTTGTTATTATATTTAATATATAAATAAAATAATTATATATTTATATATTTTTTATAAAAGTAAATATTATTTTTTTTATAAAAAAATTAAAAAATATTATATAAAAAGTGGTATAAATTTTTTTTTTTAAATATCTATAATTAAAGCTTTTTTAAAAAAATATAATATTTTTCATTTCTAAAATTAGTATTTATGATATTTTAATTAATTATTCTTAAAAATATGTAATATATATTATTTTTTGTTTTAATAAAAGAAAAAAATTATGTTTCATTTATAATATAATAATGGTATGTATATCAATAAATAAAATAAAAAAATAAAGTTATATATATAATAAAAATAGATAATATAAGATGTACATATTAGTAAGAATAAGAAGATTAACTATAATAATCTAATAATAATATAAGTAATAGTAATATTATTAGAATTGCTAAATATAGAAATATATTAATAAAAATGTAGCATAATTAAAATAATTACTTTCATTTTCTAACTAATTTTTATAAACTAGTAAATAAAAATAAAATCCAAAGTAATTAAAAAAAGACTAAGATAAGAACAATTAATCTAAACAATTCAAATTTTTCTGAAATAAAAGAATTTCTGTCATCAAATAATTACTAAATTAAATAAGATAATGATTAATATGCAAATATTAACTATATAAATTTGTATTAAGTTAGTAAATTAATAGTTAAGCAAAATCATTTCGAATGTCAAAAAATATCTTACAATTAATTTGAATAATATACTAAATAAAAACTTTCCGATAATTTAAAAAGGAAAATATTAAATAAATTTTATTTATTTTGCACAAATGACTACAAATTATTAAAAAATTACTTTTTAAAATTTCATAGTAATTCGGAATTCGCCCAACAGAAATATATAAAATACTCATCTCTTCTTGAAATTCTAAACAGTTAATAATAAAATATCCAAAACTAATAAAAAAATAGTCTAAATTTTATAAAACTAAAAAACTAAGAAAATGAATAAAATGAATAAAATATAAAGCCTTGTCCAAAAGAAAGCAAAGACAAATTTCTACATAATAAAAGTAAATATTTTATGTAATTTATACTAGAATTATTGACAACTGACCATTTAGAAGACCTAAATGTCCCTTATGAACAAATAAATTTGATGTAAAAAATAATATAAAGAATTAAAAATACAGGTGTTTAATATACACATAAGTTAAATAATTATTATAATCATAACCATTATATTTGCCTTTTTTTGCTCGTAGATTAAAATAATATATAACAAATTAAAAAGCTACATTCTCTCTCTGATATGCATAAATAAGTTTTCTAAGTTGATGATATTTCGTGTGATTTCTAAATAATAAGTTTAAATATCCTAAAACGAATTTTCAGTAATATTGTAATTAATTTGTTAATTTTTCTTAAATAATAAATTGAAAATGAATTGGGTAGTTTATTATAGTTTGAAGAAGCTAAAAATACCGAAATTAAATTAAAAATCGATTATTTAAATAAGGTTTTTTAGGGAATTATTAGGCTTTAATAAGGAGAATTTATAATTAAATTTTGATTTAACTTTTTTTTTGTTATATTTAATTAAAAAATACTAATATTAGTTTAAAAGAGATTATTATTGATATTTAAATTTTTATTTTATTTACTTAATTTTACTAAAATAGTTTAGTTATATTTTCTTTTTTTTATTTAAAAAAAAAATATATATATATATAAATTTTTATTAAATTGTTTTCTATTTAAATAATAAATATTATTATTTATATATTTTTTTAAAAAAAAAATAAGGAAAAAATATTTTTGATAAAAATAAATTTAAATATTATATTTATTT